AATGGTAAGTGACTCTACATATTGCTATTTTAGTTATTTTCTTTTAATGTTCTTGGGCAGGTCCATATAAAACTCATTTTGTTATTTTTAATCTATAAGGTCCAAATAATTTTTTTTGTCTTCGCGTTGTTTGTACCCACTAATGTCCGACACTGCTAAACTAATTATAATGTACTAAATTTGCCCGCGGCTCCGCGCGTGTTCAGATGACCAAAAACCAAATTCTTAGGTTTTACATATTAGTGAACTCTTACAATGCAGTTTTTGCATTTTTTCTCAGAAATGAGATATTTTCCCGCTGCAAAAATTATCCTATATGTTAACCCGGATAGCCAGTTATCATCAAACCAAATTTCATCAAAATCTGTCCAGTGGTTTTTTCGTGACGCGGTAACAGACAGACAGACAAAAATTCTAAAAACTATAGATTCGGACTCCGTATCGATAATAATGTCTATTTCAATTAGATTTTCCTAAAAATATTCAATGTACAGATTCGACTTAGTTACAATTTAATTATATGTATAGATATGTCACATATACATTTGCAGTTATTTGGACTTTTGAGAAAAAACAGGGGGGAGAAAAAAAAGACCATAATATTTTTAGTTTATGGCAAGGTTAATATATTTTTATCAAAAAAAATTTCTTAGCAACCAGGGTCGTTCTAATCATGCTGTGACAGTTGTCGGTTACGGCGTAAGAGATGGCGCCACTTACTTCATAGTGAAGAACTCTTGGGGAGAGAACTGGGGAGAAGACGGCTATATACTCTTCTCGACAGTTAATAATAACTGTCATATCCTAGAGGAAGGCTTCTATCCTATAGTTTAGTAATAATAAAATAGTATTAGTAAGTTATAAATAGCGTAAATAAAATCTTAACGTGCGATCAAATATTTGTTTAATTTTGGAAACCCTGTTATAAGTTAGCAGACCCTACAAAAGTTGTCCTGTTCGAAAAACAAAATTCTGGAATATGACTGCAGCGTCACTTACCTAGGGTTCATCGCCTATTTTACCCCCTTATAGCATGAACTTCGCAACGATGAACTCCTTTTTTATTAAAATAAACACGTGTTTATTTAAATTTTTTACGTATTTTCCCGTGGGAATTAGATAATCTCCCTCGGTAAAAAATTGCCCATGTCACTCTCCAGCCCTCCGACTATCTCCACACAAAAAAATCGTGAATGAAAGAAATGACATGACGTGAAAGAAAGACATACAAACAAACGAACAAACAAACACACGTTCATATTCATAATATTAGTATGGATTGTAAAACAATGTAAGCGTATATACTCGTAATTTACATGCAACACAAAATTTGGTGCCAACTAATTATAATTTATTTTATTGATAGGGAACGATGAAGACGGATAGTGGATTTTTTTACATGCTTATGTTTTGAAAAGTGCCATAAACCAACCACTCTTTTATAAAGCTACTGTTTTTATTGCCAATAGAAAATTTCATAAGATTCGCTGTTAATTATCGGCAAGTAATTATGGTAGAATATAGTTGGGATATTAACGCACAGCACAATCTAATTCCATGGTAAGCTACGAAGCTTGTGTTATGGATTACAGATCCCCCCCAACGTGCGTACACTTTGTCGTGGTGGGGGGGCTCAGTAGTGCCCGGCAATCCAACCGGGCGCGAAGCTAAGAAACGCACAGGGAGGTTGCCCGCTTCGGTGGGCGGTGGGAGGTGGCCCTCTTTGGGGGGCGGTGTACCATGCGGGTTGCTCCTGGTACTTCTCTGATAGCAAAGTGGACTGTGGAGCAACCCTATGGTTGTGGTGGTCTGCTTCGGCAGACCTGCCATCGGGGCGTCGTAGTTGAATGCGCAAGCGATCCTGCGATGCCCCATTAAGACGGGGGAAGGTTTTGTTGGGTTTTAGTGGGTAGTACTGACTGTATTACGCCGGTGAGTCCCACACGTCGTGCGTAAATGCATTTCCCAACGTTAAAAAAAAAATGGATTACAGATAGTTGATACACTACACATATATAACTTCAAATACATACATATTATAAATATAAACACCCATGACTGGAGTACAAACATTCGTGCACATCACATAAATGAATACCCCCAGCGGGACTCGAACCCGCGACTGTTGGCAGCAAGTACGGTCACTATAAACTGAGGGCCAAACTGTCGTCATAGTACTTGGATCTTTATAAAATTGCAACCCCGTATAAACCGTACATATGTAGTCTAGTGGTAAAAAAAAACAAAATAACTTCGTATCATTTATTACGTTAAAAATAATAACTACATATCCATCCAGCTTACAAAAGAAATATTTCACTATATGAGGGTCAGATGCAACAAAAATATTTATAATATTATCATTAATATATTGTAAATATATATTCAGTACTAAGTACCGATTTTTTTTTCAAATAAATAATTTACGATTCTGCGTTTAATCGCAGTAACAGAATCGCACTAATTTACAATAGTTTTAAACGTACTCTACGTATTTATAATTGCAAATGAAAAGATATTATATTATGTAACATGTGCAATATGCATATTGTTAACAAGCAATTTGCCCTCGCTTCGCTCGGGTTCGTCGGTACGTTTTATTGGGATTTTTTAACGGCCTATTCGCTGGGTGCGTGACTCCAGCGCCACCTATCGATACAACTAACGGTAGCTCTTTTGAGATATTTTATAAGTATTAGGTGCCAAGTAATTATATAAAAAAATTGAATAAACTTAAAAAATATATATTTATACCATATAAAGTTTGTTATATTAAACATAACAAAGCGTACATTAAATACAAAAAAAAACCTGGGTCAGCTGACGAAAGTAAGTATAATAAAATACAATAACTAAAATAAGTCTCAAGTGAATTAGCTTAAGCAGTGTTAAAATCTATCAAGATGTTTATTGTTAAATTAATATTGAATGAAAAATCATCAAATTAAATATATAACCATCTGAAATAAAAAATAACTCTATTTAACATAATTATACATTTACGAATGTATTTTAAATTTTTCTTTTCTCTATTTAATTTTGCAGATAAATAATAGAATTCGTGTTAAGAACCGGCTTTCAATTTATTACCCATAACATTATTTTTAAACCACAAACTATAATAAAGGGTAAAAATTAAGTAATAAAAAATCATCCTTATTTCTGTATTGTCCGCATTGAGCGCTGACGTCAGTCTTGTGTCCCCCACTATACCTTACACACCCAGCGGATAGCCTTCCTCAATAAACGGGATATCTAATGCAAAAAGAATTTTTCAAATCGGATTAGTAGTTCCCGAGTCTAGCGCGTTTAAACAAATAAACAAACAAACAAACTCTGCCTATTTACAATAATAGTATAGATAACAACTTGTTTGTTTGAATTTTGTTTTAAGTGTAAACAAGTTATTTAATTATAAATAAGTTAACGCATGTGGCAATAAAAGACCCTCCAAAACCCATACTCTAACCTGTATTTATTGAAAATATGCTAAGCCATTCCTGACAAAACTTTAACATTTATTTATATGGAGAAATTGATTACTATTATTTATTGCATTATAAAATTTCCTTAAAGATATGTCTGATTTATAGAAGTCGATAGTGAATACAAAATGAACTATTTTATAATAATATTCGAGGCTGATTTTCTAATTTGAAATGAATTTAATATATGAGAATTTAATCATAAGTTCCAGCATAAAAACTTTTTTTTAGCACCTTAATAATACTTTCATGTTAAAGGTTTTTTTTAAATTTAAAACTGGGTCATGGTAGTTCAATATATATCTCTGAGATTTGAAGATATTCTATATAAGTGACGTATGTGTGGGTGTGTCCCTGGGTGCGTGCACATAGCGTTGCTACCGTTTAATAGGAAGACCATTTTAAGAGAAATAATTCTGTAATACATTGTTTTCATATAACTTTATTAGTTTACGCGGTGCACGCTAATAAAGCTCCTAGTCGGCATGATTTTTCCCGACATCTTTAACAATCACCGTCATATTTCAGCCAATTTACATAAAACCTTAATGAATTATACGCTTAACTTCCTCATGAATCAGTTCATCCATTGGTGAAAACCGTATGAAAATACGTTTGATAGTTTTTGAGTTTATAGCGTTCAGACAGACAAACGCGGCGGAGGACTTTATTTTATAATATATATAGATAGAAGATATTTGGAGGTAATGGAATCAAATTCATAACTAGGAAATCAGCCTACAACACGACAAAGGCAACAACCAGGACGTTCGTTCATAATAAATCCAAATTTTTACAATATTATTAAATAATTATTATTTTACAATATAATTGTGCGATTTGCATATAATATTTAAAAATTCAATAAACTAATTTTGTAAAGCGTATGTTCTCACTGATATTTTAAAACTTAGTTCTACGATATGCCGTAATTCATAAGAACAAGCGATTTTATGGACAGAAATGTTATAGTTTAAACTATTTTTACTATTATCAAGTCAAAAGGATAGACCGAGCCTATTCGAAAGTTTTTACCCATAAATAATATTAATTTGACATTGTATATATAAAAACTTATATATTCTTAACTCATATATAACGTAGTACTCTAGCAATTCTTCTAAATCTATATACAATACTAATAAGTACGATTCCTGATGAGATATATTACATAATTAGTAATAGACAAATAAATATTAATCGTTTATGACGAAGGACAAATGTTTACTATGAGATTTTTTTTATTTATTTATTATCTCTTGTATCAGATTTTATACTATGCAATATATTTTAAACTTTACGTACCCTGCGTTTGCTTAGTGGAAAAATAATGAAGCTTAATTTGTTGTTATTATATTAAAAAGGCACAGGTGTCCATCGAAGGTCACCAAAGCAGTGTAGCCCTTAACTAACCACTTATAACTATTTACTCTAAGTTAATTTTAAAGAATATCCATCTTCATCACAAACATCAGTCTCAATTGAACAATCTATAATATTTTCAAAGGAGAATCATTTCTTTATGCTATCGAAGTCATAATCTGGTCCATACGCGGCTTTAGCTGTGCGTCTTGTTAAAAACACTTTGCCATCTTTTATATAGTCACCGCAGGCTTTGTTGACCTCGAACGGTATTTCCTCAATATTGGTATCGCTTTTGTCTTCTCGACAAGTACAGTTTTCTTTATTGTCACATTTATCTGATACACCGTTTTGGTTGGGGCTATTAAATCCATTCGTTACTTTTCCATTCTCTTTCTTAGACTCTATGTTCTTCTTATTTTTGTAACTTTTGGAATAGAAGTTTAGGAACAATAGAAGAAAGATAGTAACGTTTGCGGATATAAAGTAAGTAAATCCAACGGCGTATTGACAGCGAGGTGAATTATAAGTCCAAGCACAGTAAAACAGCATTAGCAGAAATTGGATCTGAAAGAATAGAAGAACTACTTAATATTAAAGTAGGATTACTATGAATCTTTATTTTCACTGACGCAGCTGCCGAAGATCGAACCAACATGTTCGATCTCTGGAAAGAATGGATGGTAATGGCTAAAAAGATGGCTTCACAAACTTTCCCAGACCAAATAGATAAAAAGCCTAATAATATATCACTTTGTTATTCTTTTTATTCTAGTCAATCAAGGTAAAGTCGTAGTACATATTCCTCTTGACTCACATATAGCTCACGAAATGAATGTTATACCATAATTAATTATTTTTAATATAAGAATAAAGTGATTAACGAGAAAATAATGTTATGGTGAAAAAGGATGGGGTGCTTTGCACAATATTTTTATACTCATTCTACTTTTAGAAATCGTACCAATGGAATATTTATAGCAACTGATATCGAGCACTTCACCCTTTATTCTTATACTAAAATTGATTTTTCCTTTTAGATCGTTTCATCATTAAAGCGTGTTTTTTAGTTTACTAAATTATTATTTTTTTAAACAAAATATTGTATTGTCATCGGCCCTTGTTAAATGTGCAAAGTTTGAGTTCAATCTCAAGTTTTGAAGTGGGTGAAAATCGCGTTCAAAGATTCCGTTACGTAGATTGATACAGGTTAAGCTAATAAAAGCATGATAAAACACTTACCAGCTGCATTTTAGTGACATATTTCTTCCACCACAGATACTTCTGAAACCGTGGTCCTAAGCCCGATAGGAGATAGTATGTGTACATCACAACGTGCACAACCGAGTTTAGGAGGGCGAGTATGGCTCCTTCACCGCCTGCGGCGAACTTGAGATAACTCCAAGAATACAAAGCCATGATCACGTGGTGATACACGTGGAGGAAAGTAAGCTGAAATATGATTATATCAATTAGACGCATAGCTAAAAAGCTTATTTATATGTTTCTAGTAATATTATATAATGACCAATATCGGCCACAGTGGCCAATCTTATTGAGATTAGCTATCTGCGAAGGAGATATTATTGAGCAGCATGTATACTCGCAAACACACATGCACTCTCTATTTCTATCACTTTCTACTCTGGTGAGACGACAACTCGACGCGACCAGTGAGGCTTTCCGTGCTCTTTGAAGCACGGAGGTAAAACACCGCCAACTTCCCAATTCTGGGCTGTTACTGAGAATTTCTTGATAGAACAACTAAATAACTGAACTTGGCCCTACGCGGGATTGAAACCCGAGGTTTTCGCTTGTACAATGTACATGCCAGCGAGATAGTTAATAATAGTGATATATATAACATCTATATATTATTAATCATTACTGTTGAATTCAGACTTACAAAGTTAAAATTATTAGATATGCTATCAAAAGTTGATGATACTATGTCAGAAACAAACATTTCACCTAAGTTTTGATCATTCAAACATAACCATTAATTTTAAAACTGTTAATAAAAAGGATTTAATAATAGTATTAATAAAATGCTACGTTATTTTTGATTGAACTACGAGAGCTTGGGAACTAGATCCTCGAAAAATGTCTATTCAGTGTATAATTGTAGCTATATTGAGATGACGGTCATAGGTATAAAATAAAAAAATATATTAATTAAGCGTGCCGAATGCTTAATTTTAGTTGAATCTAATTTTACAGATTTTGAGATATTATGTCAATCTCATTGATATGACAAAATAAAGTGCAATTAATTATATGTACGAAACTAACCTGCTTATCCTTTTTCCTCAAAACGAAGAAAACAGTGTCCAAAAGCTCGGTAAATTTCGCAAAGAAATACCACCAGCCTAAATCTAATAACTGTAAAAAAAAGTTATTACAATTTTTATAAAGGTGTTTTAGCAAATTGGCTCGTGAGTCTATTTTATATCGCTGAATTTATAGTAGTTAAAAATTTGAATAAATAAAATAAATCAAAAATAAATTATACCTTTGTATCGGACCGGGATTCGAACCCGGACACGTATTTAATCTTGCGTCTTGGCCGCTTGATCATGATGCTTATATCCGAGCGCGTAAAATTATCGAACATAATATTTTGCGTGGAATAATGCAAAAGAAAACCGCATTAAAATTCGAAAACACGCGTTTTCCCAGACATAAGACTAATTTAGAACGATTTATCGCCACCGAAACCCCTTGTGTACTAAATTTCATGAAAATCGTTGGAGCCGTTTCTATATATATATATATATATAGAAACAGCTATATATATATATACATACAATAATTGCTCGTTTAAATATATTAGATTAAGGTCATGGGTGCAACACCGAAACGGAGCAGATAGTAATGATAAAATGAAATGAATTCATCAAAGTTAAGTTATGATAATATATTAAATAAAACTATCCTTTCGAATTTTTTCGGATTTATTTTGAGTTTTGGTTCCCGACGTTTCAAAGGTCAAAATATATTCGCGTAAATCTTAGAAAATATTATATCATGATATAGGTGGAAGAGGATCCCCCCCAACGTGCGTTCACCTTGTCGTGGTGGGGGGGCTCAGTAGTGCCCGGCAATACAGCCGGGTGCGAAGCCAAGAAACGCACAGGGAGGTGGCTCTCTTCGGTGGGCGGTGGGAGGTGTCCCTCTTCGGAGGGCGGTGTACCATGTGGGTTGCTCCTGGTACTTCTCTGATAGCAGAGTGGACCTTGGAGCAACCCCGTGGTTGTGGTGGTCTGCTTCGGCAGAACTGCCGTCGGGGCGTCGTAGTTGAATGCGTAAGCGATCCTGCGACGTCCCATTAAGACGGGGGAAGGCTTTGTTGGATTTTAGTGGGTAGTACTAGCTTTGCCGGTGAGTCCCACACCTCGTGCGTAAATGCATTTCCCAACGTTAAAAAAAAAGAGGTGGAAGAGGATACTCTCACAAATATTTAAACTTGGTAAAGCACATGCTTGCATGCATGCTATGCATATACATGCATGCATGCTATGCTATGTTATGCTATATGAACTACATAGTTATACGATTAATTCATTGAAAGATTTTAAATATTTTCTACTGATAGTTCTGTAGAGAAATAGCCAGAAAGAAAAATATAGGTAACAAATATGTTATAATGTAAACGTGGGGAAATCGATATAACCGTTTCGAGTAAGAAGCTTCTAGAATCTTCTCATTTTCTTGAAAGAGAAAAATTGTCAAGTAATTCAATAAGTCTCAAATGAGAAAAACCTGTATTTTAAGTCGCTTAATGTATAGATGCAATAATTTCATTTCTAAGTAAAACAAAAATACATAATACTACGACCTTACCATAGGATTTTGAGTATTGGACGGATATCGGCACCCTGCATACAATATACCATCTCTGAATAGATTCAATTTAAATACCTGTAAAATTTCATGGATATTAGTTTAAATGACAATAAAAAATACAATATTCATGCATCATAATATTACATAAACATATTCATCCAATTTATATTAATCTAACATTTGTAACTCGTCCACCGCCATACATCGGAACTATATAAGAGACTTTCCCACTATCTAATCACCAAAGTTTAATCGTAAACGGATAAGCAGTTTAGGCAAAATAGAAAACGCATCTAGAAAAACAAAAACAAATTTACCCCACAGGAACCATACATTTTTTTGAGTAGCCTATGTGCTATTCCAGACTATAATCTATTTTTGTGCCAAATTTCTTCCAGATCCGTTTAACCGTTTGATTGAGTAACAAACAACCATCCAAGCATCCAAACTTCTAAACTTTCACATTTATACTATACTAACGGCTTACCCTCGCTTCGCTCGGGTTTGACTCTAAGAAAACTAAAACAAACCTATCCCAGGGGAACCGTACATTTTTCCGGGATAAAAAGTAGCCTGTGTTATTCCAGACTATAATCTATCTCTGCGCCACATCCAAATCCGTTCTGGCGTGAAATAGTAACAAACATACATACTCACAAACTTTCACATTTATATTATTAGTATAGATTATATGCTTTATTGCACAAACAGTTATTAAAAAAAATACAGAAAGTTACGTGGACGATGGTGGACTTATCTCTATAAGAGATCCCTTCCAGTCAACCCATGTATGTGGGACAGTGTTAAGGAGCGGGACAGAAAGAGAAAGTGCAAAGAGTAAATAAAAAAGTATAAAAGCATAAATAAAAACAATATATAAACATATACAATACATATACACACATACATAATACATAAGCTATATAATTTATAAATAAATACATAAATACAAGTATATATAAAACTACATAATTATTAAGTTAATGAATAAATACTAAAATTATATAAATATATACATAAACATACACACATAATTGCTAAATAGAAATATATATAATTTTCAAGTTTCAGCAAGAAAATATTCTTTATGTTCGCTTTAAACGCGAGTAGAAGGGCTCTCCTGCAGGTTTTTATGGAGATTTTCCCATAACACTTCAGCACTTAATATTAACAAGACATAAATATATCAAATAATACGTATTCTTACCTTCATACAAATCATAGTAGCAAGTACAACTTGGGATGCATTATAGTAGCTTAATAACTTATTCATTCGTAAAGGCGGTCTGTTTTTCATAATTTTTGGACCGATTCTAATAAAAAGCAGGTATAATATCACCACTGATAATATGGGCATGGGACTCGACATCATAAACCAAGAATCTACCATAGCGCCTGAAATAGATATATTAAGATTAAAATTATACATATTAGTATACTCTTACATTGCAGTTTTCGTATTTTTCCTCAGAAATGATATATTTTTCCACGGTAAAAAGTATCTTATATGTTGACCCGGATAGCCAGCTATCATCATACCAAATTTCATCAAAATCCCTCCAGTGGTTTTTCTGTGATGCGATAACAGACAGACAGACAAAAATTCTAAAAACTATAGATGGGCCTCTGTATCGATAATAATGTCTATTTCAATAAGATTTTCCAAAAATATTGAATGTACAAATTCGGCTTAGTTACAGTTTTATTATATGTATAGATAGTATCCTTTGCTAAAGACATATTTTTAAACTTATTAATAAGCTCGCGACTCTCCCTCGCTTATGCAAATAATTATTTCAAAAACAATGAAAATCTTCTCTACGCATAGCGTTATAGTCAAATTCGAGGACGATAATTGTCGGGTCGAATTGTGGATAATAATCTATACTAATATTATAAAGAGGTAAAGTTTGTGAATTGTGAGTTTGTGACGTTGTAGGGGGTAATCTCTGGATCTATCTAGATTTAGATGAAATTTGGTAAGAAGATAGTTTGAGACCCTGGGAAGGACATAAGATACTTTTTATCCTGGAAATCATCTATTAAGGGGGTGAAAATGGGGATGAAAGTTTGTATGGGGAATAAGCCTATATATAATAATAAATATGTTGGGACATTCACATACAGCGCCATCTATGTAGTTCCATGGAAGCTACGAGGCTTGTGTTATGGATACCAGGTAGTTGATACACTTCATATATATATAACTTTTAAAAACATACATATTATAAATATAAACAGTCATGACTGAAATACAAACATTCATAGTAATCACACAAATGAATGCTCCCAGCGGGACTCGAACCCGCGACTTCTGGCACAGCGAGTATGATCAGTACAAACTGAGCCAAACGTGACGGCTTCGTCAGAATTTTTTCTTGTATAAAAATATCACAGTCAAGTCGAATACCGACCGAGATTCGATTAATAATTATTGTATGGTTTTTGCATTACACATACATTTCTTTTTGGCAGTACTTTAAAATGCGATTTATTTAAAATACTTCTTTCACATTTTCCTAAGCATTCACATATGCGAAAATCGTCGAAAGGTTCAGAAATTCTCTATTTTATCGTATGGTTTCGGAAACTTTAAGCCTCCATGACTTATGATAATATTAAACATTTTTCCTCCATCAAATTGAATTGCAAAATAATGTTGTGAGAAAAGTCCTCAAACTCGTATCTTCTCTCCCTGCCCATTTCCCAATCACTTGGGGGTCGGCGCAGTACATCTTCTGTACTGCTGATAGGATTTGGCAAAAGTTTTACGACCGGCCGCCTGCCTGACGTCAACCCTCCTTGGGAATGCTATTGTCTCTCTTTGTCTGAATGGTGTCGCGGAAGTATTGTAATTGCAATGCACTTTCGATCTTGTTGTCTTTTAAAATATTTTTAAACTATTACTTAAATTTTTAATGTTATTTTTGGATATATTTTAAAATAAATTTTGATTACACCATAAATTTTGTTTTGTCCTCAAACTCGTATATTTGAAGTAAATAGTTAATAATAATATTATCTTGAAAGCTTTACAACCTATTACATATTGATATAATTTATAACTTTTCAGAAATGATAGTGTCTCATCAAGACAAAAGTAACTTGATGGACATATTATGTACATAATCCATAATTACAATATAACAATACATATTAGGTAACACTCACTTTTACCCACTTTCAAAGAATCTAAATACCGGTCCATCTTCTCCAAGTAACTCATCATTGGTCCACAATCTGAAAAAAAAATGCTATTATTTTTATTATATCACTATATTTTTGACGTAAGATATTTAAGAATAGATGTCAAAATATTTTTTGAATATAAAAACTTCTTATAATAATTAATCTGACTTTTTACAACTTAAACAATGTCCGAAAATATTACTTTATTTTAAAATAAATAAACTATACTGAAATAGATAACTGAAAGTGGTAATATTATAATAAATTTATATAACAAAAAAACTAACTTAACTCTGCGCTCTTCTTTATAAAATTACATTTAGAAGTTAAGGAATAAATAGAAACAAGCAGTTAATAGTAAGTTTCTATTAACATGTTAAATAAGATTTTGTTATATATATTATAAGGTTTCGTTATTTTAATAGATTGATTTATTTTATTACACTTTAATTTTTTTTTGTCTTTTAAAACATTTTTTATATTATTATATAAATCCCCTATAATCCCCTTCCCTCCGGACCTTGAAAGTGGTCGGACGTGTTAAACATCGTTCCACACATATTTTAAAACAGTTTAAAATGCGTTTATTTCTTTTAAATAATAGGAGTGCATAGTAGTTAAGGAGTAGTGTCAACCGTGATTTACAGTGTGTGTATACTCTAAACGTTAGTTACATCGCCGTCTCTTTCGGTATCACAGTACGGACATCAAGTAGTGCAGTGAAGCTATAGTTTACGCGCGTCCGCATTAGAGGGGTCAAGTTACACTAGACGGAAACCAAAGTTGTATGAAATCGCCGCGAGCCACCAGTTTACTTTGACCTGCTATCTATAAAACTTCCTCCTTACGCATAAGCGCCTGGTACTTGAACTATTCAAAAATGCCTATTAACCGCTCCCCACCATCTCAACAACTACAGCTGTTGACGACTCCCAGTTCGATTCCACATTGTACCTCTGAGCCAAACCTGTCTAGCCAGACGGATATTGAGCAGCCAAATGTAACCTTGCGTCAAAAGCGTAAGCGTTTTGAAACCGACAGCGGTTCAGATTCTCAATTATGTTCATTCATGAATGACATTAGAAATATGATGATGGAGTTCAAAATTCAGCAAGAGGAGAAAATAGAAAAAGTCTACTCAACTTTAGATGAAATAAAAAAGCAAAATAATGAGATTTGTGCCTCCATAGAATTTATGTCTAAATCTTATGATTCTCTGAATGAAAAGATCCATAAATTAGAATTAGATCGCCAGGCTAATATGAAGTATATACAGTCTTTGGAAGAAAGGGTTGAAATATTGGAACGTAGTTCCCGCTCTTCCAGTATTGAAATTAAAAATATACCTACTCAAGTATTTCAATCTAAGGATCAATTACTGCAAATGATGATTAATATTGGAAACAAACTTAACATTACAATATCGCCACATGAAGTATGTGACATATACCGCATCCATACCTACAAACGTACAGATTGTAAACCTGTCATTGTAAAGTTCACTAGTATTATTTTGAAAGAAAAAATTATAGATTCGTACAAAAAGTACAACAAGGGAGCTTCGTACTTAACAACGGAGAGTATGAATATCCCGGGTACGAGCAAACGTATTTTTATTTCAGAAAACTTGTGTAACAAAATGAAACGTCTATTTTATTTGTGTCGTGATTATGCTAAAGTAAACCATTATAAGTATTGCTGGTTATCGCACGGCAAAATATTTTTACGTAAATCAGACGGTGCACCTTTACGTCTTATAAAGAATGAAAGCGATCTACCGTCAATCGAAGAAAAATGACTATTTACAATATTTTTTCTCATTTTACAACTTAGTAGTCATATCACAGTCTCAGTTGAATATACTTATCTTATGTATAATATAATTATCTTAAAATTGGTCAAAATTATGCGATGTGACAAATTAGTTTGTATTATTAGTTTGTTTTTTCTGCATGCATTAATTTTTTGTATTTACTTTAGAATTAGTATTTGTAATAAAAAACTATCTTTAAAGTTTGTAGACACGGATAACATATTTTATATAATAATACACACATTACACATAACATACATACTAAGAATACATTATACTCATAAAATACACTACACACAATATTGTATAATACATATAAATGACAAGACACTTAATATTATTACTTACATACACTGCCATTCTATTATAAAAGTCATAGGTTTGGGTTTCATAAGTATTACACAGTCATGTACGATTAATTCTTTGGTAAAATATAATTTAACACTGTTAATCAAGTTATTGTTATATTGTAACTTATTTAAAATAAACCTCTTTTTATAATTTTTACTTTATACATAAATATTTATTTATAACTTAACAATTATGATTGACATAAATAATGTAGCTAATGATATTGAAAATTTTCAAGTAGCTAACTCTTTTACTTGTGCTCCGGAGAATTGTGCTTCATTTCTAGACTCAAAAACTGTAAAAGCGCTTAGCATTTTACATGTGAACATTAGAAGTTTAGGGTGTAACTTTACACATCTTCTGACCTTATTAAATAGAGTTAATATCCAAATTGATATTATAATTTTATCAGAGTGCTGGCTTAGCAAGTGTCCTAACCTCCCTGTCATACCAGGTTTCACTTCATATGCTTCTGACTATGTACACCAAAATGACGGGGTGGTTGTCTACGTTAACATAAATATAGTTCACACGGTTGAGAAACCCATTTTTAATGATGCAAATTGTCTTATTTTGAAGTTCACAAATTCATTGGCTATTATTGCCCTCTATCGATCACCGTCTTTCAGGAACATTGATAGATTTAATATTTCTCTAGATAAATATTTACAGCAGCTTCATACATTTGATAACATAGCGATTATTGGTGACATTAACATAAACATAAATACTAATAACTCTGACTCAAATTCCGATTTGTATCTAAACCTTCTCGCGTCACATGGACTACTTCCAGCCCATACCTTGCCTACTCGAAATAATAGTTGCCTCGACCATGTTATCCTAAAATCTACACATATTGCCAATACTCTCGTACTTGACTCCTATTTTACTGATCATGCACCGGTAATCGTCAACTTTAATCTTCAATTAAAATTTCATAGCATAAGGAAGTCAGCTAAACGACTTAATGAAACGGCTTGTCTTGAAGAATTAGAAAAATTTAATTTTTCTGGTATCCTTCAAGATTACAATGTTGAACGTGCAGCTTTAAAACTTGTTACGTCGGTTTCCGATATTGTTAAAAGGAACTCACATGAAATAAAAGCTTCTAATAAGAACAGAATAATCAAACCCTGGATCACACCCGGACTCTTGCGATGTATACGTAATCGCGATAAATTATTTCGAAAATCTAAAAAAAACCCGGATGATATTAATTGTTTCACAATATATAATAGATATAAAAATTTTTGCAATAATCTTCTTAAAAGAATCAAAAGAGATTATGATCGGAATAACTTCTTAAAAGCTAAAAATAACGCCAAAGAGACTTGGAATCTTATAAAAAATGTTAGCCATCTCAAACCTCCAACTCAATCACCTACTAACTTATTAATGTTGGCAAGTGATCCTGTTACCGCAGTCAATAATGTTAATAATTATTTTTCTAGTGTCAGTAAAACCTTAGCTACCAAAATTAAAGATTCTTGTAATTCAAACCCAATGAATGCATGTTGCTCCTCACCTGTACCCCATTTCTCTTCTTCTATGTCCTTATATAACACTGACCATTCAGAAGTAGAAAATGTAATAAATAACCTTAAGAATACAGCTGCGACGGGATGGGATGAAATTCCCATTTCTGTAATAAAGTTAGCTAGACACGTGCTTATTCCATTGATTGTTCATATTTTTAATATATCTATTGAATCAGGCATTTTTCCTAAAGTTTTTAAAAAAGCTCTCATTCATCCAATTCATAAAAACGGAGATGCAAATAAAATTAATAACTACAGACCTATTTCAATTTAACCTCTTTCTCTAAAATATTTGAAAAACTATTAAACCGTAGACTTAACAATTATCTAACCGCTAATAATATTATAGCTCCGAACCAATATGGCTTTAGAAGTGGTAAGTCAACTGAAGATGCGATCTTGGACCTAACCAATACAATCGTTCAAAATTTTAACCGTAAAAACAAAGTTATTGGAATATTTTTAGATCTAACTAAGGCATTTGACACGGTCTCAATTACCAATCTGTTGACAAAATTAAATGACATTGGTATAAGAGGAGTAGTGAATGATCTATTTAAAAGTTATCTTAGTGATCGATCTCAGTGCGTGGTAATTAATGGTACCGTGAGTGATGAAGTTGGTTTAAGTTTTGGAGTACCACAGGGCAGTGTCCTTGGGCCAACACTATTCCTTGTCTATGTCAATGAATTGTCTAAACTCTCTATTCCAAACTGTAGTATAATTTCATATGCTGATGACACGATACTTCTCGTTCATGGTAAAAGCTGGCCAGAAGTGAGTACACGTGCAGAAAGTGCACTATCTTCCGTCTATAATTGGCTAAATTTAAATATTTTAACGTTAAATTTTGAAAAAACTAATTTTATTACTTTTGCTCCTCATAAAAACTCTCTCCCGTCTGACCGTATTTCCATCCATGTTCATGAGCAAAATTGTAAGAGAAATGTCGAATGTACTTGTAAAAAAATTACTCCTGTGACTTATGTTAAATATCTGGGCATATGGGTTGACGACACCCTGACATGGAAAGAGCATATTGCGGCTACTTACACAAAACTTCGTAAATTGATTTTCGTGTTTAAGAAACTAAGACCTTTAATTGATTTCCCGTTGTTAAAAAATGTATATTATGCTCTTGCACAATCAATATTATCTTATGGTATTACAGCTTGGGGAGGGACTGGAAAAACTAAATTACTTCGTCTTGAAAGGGCTCAAAGAACAATTCTTAAAACCATGACATTTAAATCCATGCTGTATCCTACCGATGAGTTATATAAAGTCACACGGGTATTATCGGTTAGGAAACTATTTATTCTACATACTATACTA